GCTTTTTACAAAAAGCTTAAATGCTTCTGCTTTCTTTGTATTGAAATCAACCAATCCTGAAGACTCGGTACATACCCTTCCCGTATAATTCACATCACTAAGATCTAGAATGGCAACTGATAGCCATGATTTTGTTCTTCTTTTTAGAATTTCATTTAATTTTATGTGGGTGGATGTTTGCAGAGGTCAGAAGAGGGCCTTAGAATCCCTGGAACTGGAGTTCAGGTTGGCTGTAAAGCCCCTTGTAGGTGCTAGGAACTGAACCCCAGTCCTCTGCAAGAGCAACAAGAGCAACAGGTGCTGTTAATCTCTCCAGCTTCTTTTCAGTTCTGAACGACACAGGGTTCTGCTAAGTAGCCTTTGCTGGCCTGCAAGTCCCTGAGACTCTGGTCTCTGACTTGTGGTGATTCTCCTGCCTCTGCTTCCCAAGTGCTGGAGTCACAGATATTGGTGCCACTATATCTGTTTTTTTTTTAAGGGGTGGGGCGGTGTTGGAATGTAGGCAGGAAAATGAAAGTATGTGAAGTTATGAGTTCTCTTCCCAGGAAAATGAACATAAACACACACGTGTGCTTGGGGTCAGATTTCAGGAAACCTGGGGCCGCCAGAAGATGCTGCTGTGGTAAACTCAATTTGTGCTCATGTCTCCACCCAAGCCTGCGGCTCTCCTTCTCAGGCCTTCTCTGGGGACTCTGGCTGACTTCTAAGTCACTTCATAAGACCGTTTCATCTGCCAGCCTCCCACATACTTTTTTGGGGAAGAGTCAGGTTTTCAAAGACATTTGTGAGGTCCCCCTCCGTCACAGGGTCCCTGAGGCAATCTTCACTGTGTCTCTCTGAAAATACTGTCAGATTTGAGAAGCAAATCCGTGCTTTTTGTGAAGCCGGGCTGGCTATTTTTATCCACCTCCCCTCTTACCCCATCTCCTGAAATGTGTTGTGGCTCGGCTGATTAGTGTTCTAGTCATGCAGAGAGACTCAAGGCTCACGGATAAAGACCAATCAGGGCTTTGGAAAGCAAACTCAACCCCTCCAACATGGACATGCTGATACTTTACAATGAACACGAGCAGAATAAAATCTGCTTAGGGAAATAGTTTCGTGACTTCCAAGAATGCTGGAACTCAGACGAGATGTGGAAATAAATCCTCGGGCGAGAAAAGATCACCATCATTGACAATGTCTTTTCTCCACTCATGATTAAGCACTGGAGATGGGGGGGGGGGCTAATTTGAAAGAGAGCGAGGCAGCCAGGGCTGTCCTGGATGGTGCTGAAGGATGGACAGTATGTACTGCACAAACATACAGTTCAGGAGGTGAATGGCGCCCAAACCCAGCCCCAACAATATAGCACCTGCTGAGTTTGCCCAGGAGAGAGACCCTTTCCTAACACATCTGTATAAAGGGGGGGGGTACTTATTTTTTCTTCTAATTCTTCTAAGGTACCAGAGCTTAGCGGCTGGCCCTGAAGATGTCTATGATTCTTCGAGTCTATTCTATTTGGCATGAGTTATTTAAGCTGTCCTTGCAAGCCAGTCTGGCTTATATCACAGGCTGTGAGCCAACAGTTGAGAATCACCTGGAGGGGTACCAGAACCACAGAGGGCTAGCGGCTTCAGAATGGGCATCTCTAACAGATATGCAGAGGCTGCAGGTCCAGGGACCTCGCTTTAAGAACCAGAACTGTAAGAGACTCCAGAAGAGGTTTCTTCACTTGGGACCTTGTCCATGTTTACTAATGAAGGCCTCACGGCCTGAACTAGACCAAAGGAAAAAAAGCAACCACAGGTACCCTAACTGAAGGGTTATCCTGATTTGGACTTTGCCTTGGTAATAACACACCCATCTAGCTGAAAGACCCATAGTTCCCTGCACGACCTTGAGTCAGTAAGTGGCTGAGGAGACATTCTGTGGCAGGGCCTGTTTCTATTCATTTAATTTCCTGAGAGTCTGTGTCAGGTAATGAAGGAGCCACTGTGTTCCAGGCCAGCAGCTCAGCTGGGCTGCTGAGGTCTGCAGGAGTTTACACCAAATAGATGGTGTGGTTCTCGGATCCCTTGCTGCCTGAAAAGGCTGCTTCCTGTTTTGGTTGGGACTGGGACTGTGGACACAGGGGGTGGGTGGAGGCCACTCTGGGGTGGACAGGCACCCTGATGGTCTACACCCACCAAAGCCTATGCCTTTCAACCACAACTCAGACACGAAGAGACTTTTGTGATCAATAGACTCCTTGAGCTGTTAATGTCTTCCTCTAACTCATCCTGAGTAAATAAGTAGGAATTCTTAAAGACCTTTGGACTGGGGAGCCTGTGTTTCATCTAATATATTATTCTAGCTTCAGGCTCTTGTAATAACCTGAGAATTCTAAAGGAACCTTGCATGTGGTAGGCAAGTCTCTCTCTCTCTTAATTAAATGCCCTTAAGTCATCACCTCCTGGTTGCAGGCTTAGCTGAGATGGAAAAGAATCAGGGTCCATCCTCCATATTCCTTTACCAGATACTCACTCTCATTTTGGTTGGTTGTCAATCTCTTTTCTCATTAAAAAAAAAAATAAACTTTCTTTTTTTTATTATTGTCTATGTATGCATGGTATGTGTATCCCAGGATTTGTGTAGGTGGACACCTCTGTGGACTCGGTTCTCTATGCATCTATGATATGTGTATCCCGGGGTTTGTGTAGGTGGACACCTCTGTGGACTCATTTCTCTATGCATCCATGATATGTGTATCCCGGGGTTTGTGTGGGTGTCAGTGGACACCTCTGTGGACTTGGTTCTCCCCTTTCACCTTTAACTGAGGTCACCAATTTGGCAGCAAATGACCCATTGAGCCATCTTGCTGGCCCCAAACCCTCCTTTTTGAAGGGCAGGCTTGCAGTGTCTTGCCCCCTTGAGCAGAGTCCAGCCCTCCTTTTAAAATTTATTTCCTGCGAAGTCCTCAGTAGCATTCTGGTGTTAGAGAACTCTAGTTGAGAACTTTGCCTCCTGGTCATCAAGGTGACAGATTTTGGGTCTTCCAGGTACCTGTCCTTTGGTTAAACTGCCCCCTCCCCCAGACAGGGCTTTTCTGTGTAGTTTTGGTTCCTGTCCTGGATGTCGCTCTGTAAATCATGCTGGCCTCGAACTCACAGAGATCCGCCTGCCTCTGCCTCCTGAGTGCAGATGAAAGGTGTGCGCCACCACTGCCTGGCTGATTAAACTTCTAATCAATGCAGGCCTAGCCTAGTGACATTTCCTCGTTGACTGTCCTTGTGATATTTCCTAGGAATTGGCAACAAGGGAATCATGAGCTCAGAGAAGTATACACCAAGAGAGGCTAGGCATTATGTCACCTGTTTGTCTGTCCTTCCTGTAAGGATTCTGTCCTTAATTATATCATCAGCCTGCAATGGTGTCCCAGCCTAAAAAGCGGGTGGGGCCTCTGTGCGTCCCTCTCTTTCCTTTCTGCTCCTTCCTTCCATCTGGACCTCCTTCTTCTCTTTCCTTTCTCTCTCTCTCTCTCTCTCTCTCTCTCTCTCTCTCTCTCTCTCTCTCTCTCTCTCTGCCCCCTCCCTCTTCCCCCCCCCAATAAAGCTCTAAAAAGGTAACCATGGCTGTGATTCCTCCTCCAGCACTTTCCTCTGTTGGCATGGCTGCCGCAGGCGGTGGCCAGCCAGGAGCAGCGCCATTTAACCAACACTTCCTTCCTTCGTTCCTTCTTCTTTCTTTTTGTGTGTGTTATGTGTGTGTGTTGGGGCGGGGGTGTTGGGAAAAGGTCCGTATTCCCCCTGAGACTTGCTTCCCAGTAAACAAAAAAACAAAAATAACAAAATAAAAACACTCAAAGGACCAGAGGAAACAATCCCAGAATCCTCTCCATCCCCTTGCTTCATGAAAGACAGGACCTGGAGAACCTTCCTGACTATGTAGTGCATGACAAACATCCTGTGGGGGTGTGGCACAGAGATCTGAGCTGTGATGGGCATTTTGGGCAAACCAGGACGATGCGCTTACTCTTCAGCAGGTGTGGATCTGGGAAAATGGAAACATGAAACTAAACAAACCGAGTCTATAGCTCAGAGGACCATGCCTTTTAAACCAGCACTGAGAAGCAGCTGGCAGTATGAATGACTAACATTGCCCTCACCCATTCTGTCCAATGTAGCCTTTCTCTTAAAGGTGGGATCGGGGAGGGGGTCACCTGATGCTGTGGAAACTGAGGGCATGGGTAGAATAAGGATGGAAAAAGACCAAACCACAATCTAGGTTACACCCAGTACACATAATGTGACTTAGGACAATAGATACATAAAGTCAGCTCCATTCTAAGTCACTGGTTGGGCATGCTGGCTTCTATTTATAGCCAAGGACACAAGCAACCTGATGACCGGTTCGGGGAAAGCAGAGGTCTCATGTCCATACAGCCGCAGGGCTGAGCATCCAGGGAGGGCGGTCCATCCATCATGGTACCGAGCAAACCTTGTTTTCATTTACTGACAATGTACAGATCTAGTTTAACATCTTCCCGTGACATTAAAGAAAAACAAACCAAAACCCAAACCAAAAAGCCAGAACAACATTTTCAATTAGGATCATCCAGGCACCAAAGCCTCCATCTGTCCTTGACATTGTAGAGAAATTGTATATATGCGATGAGAGTCTGTTTCAAGTGTCCCCCGCATCAAGGGACTGTTACTCAATAAGATGCTTCAGATAATGTTGAAGTTTGGGATAAATTAGGAAGGGTTTAAAGTCCATCCCACAGAGAACAATGGAGCCCCATGTATACGCTAGATGATCAAGCCAAGGTCCTACTTGGTCAATAGTTCTGTGGTTATTTCAGACCAAGCTTCTATAATTACATCTCTATCAGGCTCACCGGACGGAGCTATTTCCAATACAGGAAGCGGTGACCTGCCCTTTGTTGCTGTCCTAGGTTACACTTGAAGCGGGGTGTACTGAAAACCGAGTCAACGTGTTATGAAACTGTTCTCCAAGTTATTCTGGGTCATCTGACTTACCGTACCACTCATCAACCCATGCAAAGGCCTGTCTGTGTCCAATCAGCAGGATGTCTCGGACCACCTGAAGAGGAAGAGAAGGAGGTTGAAATAACACCAGCTGTGATCAAGGATGTCTGGGGGTGAGGGGCTGGAGGCACGGCTCAGGGGGTCAGGGGCTGGCTGTGTGGGCATGAGGACCTGAGTTTGTGTCTTCAGCACCCATGCAAAAATTAGAGGTGTTATGTATGCCTGTAGCTGGGGCGTGCTGGGGAGAGTGGAAATGGGGGTTCACCAGGGGCTCTCTGGCCAGCCAGTCTGGCTTGTCAGTGAACCCCAACTTTAGTGAGAGAGCCTTTCTTAAAACATAAGCTGGGGTCAGTGAGACGGGTCAGAGGGTAAAGGTGCCTCCTGCCGAGCCTGCCTTTCTGAGTTCAGTCCCTGAGTCTCAGTTGGTCGAGATGGTGGTGGGAGAGGACAGAGTGACCTCTGACCTCCCTATGCACCATGGCACTCAGATGTCCTCCTCTCCCACCAAACAGATAAACAAAATGCAGTAAAATAATTAAAGAGAAAATTTAAAAAGACAGAGAGAGAGAGAGAGAGGAGAGAGTTGAAGACATGGTCAGATGTCATCCTCTGGTCTTCATAAGAGTATGGATGGGCAAGAAGCCCCCTCTTCCATACTTACACAGATAGGTTCCAAATAATAACGATAAAGTAAAGTAATACAAAATATCTTAGTCCCGCACCCCCCCTGCCACTTTCTTTCTTGTTTATGGTTTTTTGAGACAGAGTTTCTCTGTGTAACAGCTCTGGCTGTCCTGGAACTCACCTTGTAGACCAGTTGGCCTCAAACTCACAGAGACCCACTTGCCTCTGCCTCCTGAGTGGTGGGATTAAAGGTTTGTGCCACCACTGCCGAGATCATTTCTTTCTTTTTTTTTTTTTTTTTTTGGTTTTTCGAGACAGGGTTTCTCTTGTGTAGCTTTGCGCCTTTCCTGGAACTCACTTGGTAGCCCAGGCTGGCCTCGAACTCACAGAGATCCGCCTGCCTCTGCCTCCCGAGTGCTGGGATCATTTCTTTCTTAAAGATCTATTTATTTATTTTTATGTGTATGAGTGTCTTGCCTGCATGCATGTAAATGTATCACATGCATGTAGTATAGGAGGAAGTCAAAAGAGGGTGTCAGAAATCTTGGAACTGGAGTTACAGATAGTTGTAAGCTGTCATGTAGGTTCTGGGAACCAAATCCTTGTCCTTTGTAGGAACAGCCTGTGCTCTTAACCACTAAGCCATCTCTCCAGTCCTGTATCTCTTTCAATAATAGTTCACTATTTTTTCTTTTTATTATATGAAAATTAAGCAAGCCTACAGGATATTTACTTACCTTGTGTCTTACATACTCTAAGGATGATCTTGGTCACATGCAATCATTGCTCAATTCCAAATGGAACAAAGTAAAGTCTTATTGATACCCCTAACACACCTGCTTCAGCCTATGAGCATCCCAGAGGAACAAGATGTGGGGGATATTCCATCAGAGAAAAGAGAATGTTAAGTGATTGTGGTGGTTTGAATGATAATGACTCCCATTAGGCTCATAGGTTTGAATACTTGGTCCTCATTTGGTAGGACTGTTTGGTAAGGATTAGGAGGTGTGGCCTTTGGGGTTGAGGTTTCAAAGACCTATGCCATCCCAGTTAGCTCTCTTTCTGCCCCCAGCTCGTGGATAAGATGTAAACAATCCTCTACTGCAGTAGTTCCATGTCTGCCTATCTGCTGTCATGCTCCTTGCCATGAAGGTCATGGACTAACCCTCTGAGACTGTAAGCAAGCCCCCAATTGAACACATTCTTGTGTAAGATGCCTTGGCTACAGTGTGTCTTCACAGCAATAGAAAAGTCACTAAGACAGTAATCTTTGCTACTCAGAAAAGTGTTCGTTTCCACCAACACATATACCATCCTTGAAAGAAAAAGTAGGCTCTGTACTAGTTAAATCTCAGGGTGATTAGCCTAGAGAAGTCATTCCAGTTAGTGCTGAATGAATGTCCAGAAGCTGTCGGAAGTGTGTGCACACCTTTAGCCTGACTCACACAGAAGACTGAGTCATTCACTTACGCTAAGTATGGAAAAGGGCTCATCGAGAGCAAACACTGGGTAGCTCAGTGGGCAGAGGTGCTTGCTGTGTTCCCTGATGATCTAGCTCCATCCCTGGGACCTACCTATGGCTGAAGGAGAGAACCAACTCTGGTCCTCTGACCTCCAGGGCATGCGGTGGCACTCTCCCAGGCAATAATAATAAACACAAGCTTACCAAAAGAAAAGAGCAAACACCTCATCTGTGCATGTCAGCCTTTGGCTGCCCGCACATATGGACAGAGGGATTAAGACACCGACACTTGCCAAGATCCTCCGGACTGGGAACCACCTGTTTCACAGACAGGTTATTTATTTATTTTTGTCTTTTTCTGTGTATTTGTGTGTATGGTGTGTGTAGGGTTTGTAGGCAGATGTGCATGCCCGTGGAGAGGTCAGAGTAGGACACCGAGTGTCTTCCTCTTTTGCGCCCTGCCTTATTGCCTTGAGACAAGGGTCTCCTAGTAAACTGGAAGCTCAAAGCTTGAGCAGGCTGACTCTTGGAATCTGTCTGTCTCTGTTCTCCAGAGCTGGAGTAATAGATATGTGTAGTCTGAACTCAGGTTCTGATACCTGCAATTGTTTCTTATGGGGAAATTGGGATGGAAAGCTGAAGAAGAGACTCTGTGTGTGTGTGTGTGTGTGTGTGATGTCACAGCACATATGTGACAGAGGACATCTTGCAGAAGCAACTTCTCTCCCTTCCCCATATGGGTTTGAGGACTGAATTCATGTCATCAGGCTTGGTGGTAAGTGCCTTAACCACTGGACCATCTTGCCAGGCTCCATCTCATTTTTTGAGACAAGGTCTCTCATTGGACCTGGAAACCACCAATTGGCAGACTGGCTGAATAATGAGCCTCCAAGGGTCCCCCAGCCTCACTTGCCCAGAGCTAGTGTTTTTACACATACATATGCATTACCATGCCTAGATCTAGCTTTTATGTTGGTGCTGGGGATCCTAACTGAAGGTTTTCCTGCTCAGGCGGCAAGTACTTTACCTCTCAAGGCACCTCCTCGGCCCATAAATATTCCTTATTACATTTCTTGGAAACTCACAGACTGCCTCCAGCATTCCTTCTTTTCTTTTTGCCAAACAAATCCAGTGACTGTCAAAAACCTCTCATGGAAGGCTGAAGTGTGTTTCGATAAGCAAAGGGTTTTAATTGGGTGGATTTGCAGAAACAAGGGAAGCGTTTCTAATGAAGTGTTTATTCCTCTAGGCCTCTGGGTATTTGGTGAGGCCCTTTTATGATTGGAAGTGAAGACATGTAAAGCATCTAAGAAATACCATGCAGCCATACACACTTGAGTGCTGACTGTGTCAAATTCATGGAAATCAAAAGAACAGCATAAAGGCACTGTAAATCCATCCTATCATATTAAGCACAACACAGCTGTGGCTGGTAACAAGGCTTCAATAATGTGTTAATGGCTGGCTTTGGAATACCATCCCCCTACTATGAATAGGTTCTTAAAAAACAAAGGTGTTTAGAGACTCCCCCCCTTCAGTCCATGTAAATACTCCCTCATTAGCAGAGCAGGTGTGTTGGGGGTGGGGGGCTATAACACTTCATTTAGTTTGGAATTGGGCACAGGACTGGAATACATATGACCCAAGCCTCATTCTCACAGGTATTTTAAAGAAATGGGTTCTCATAACCAGCCCAAGTCGTCATCAAGGAAATCAATGCAATGAGCTCTGGGCGTTTTAAACATGTTTTTAGACAGAAAGTAAGATGCATGACCACTACATTGATTCTCCAGTTCAAGGAGATGATTTGGGGGAACAAAACCAAACCAACTCTACCACATGAGGGAGGGAAGGAGGCGAGTGTGGTGGCGCACACCTGTAATTCCAGCACTTGGGCACTCCGGTCTAGCCTTGGCTACACAGTGCATTTGAGGCCAAGCTGGGCTGTATGAGACCCTCCTTCAAAAAAATAAAAACAGGAGCTTGAGACTTGGCTCAGCGGTTAAGAGCACTCGTTGCTCTTGCTTAGGGGCTGAGTTGGATTCCCAGCACCCATACAGCAGCTGACAACCACCTATTACTCCAGTCCTAGGGGATACGACACCCTCTTCTGAACTTTGTGGACACCAGGCATACCTGTGGTGTCCATCCATACATACATGCAGGCAAAACACTCACAGACATAAATCTAAAAGTTTTTTCAAAAGAACAGAAGCAAAGGGAGAGAGAATGGAGGTGGGGGGAGGGAAAGACAGGTGGGGAGAGAATGTAAGTAAGACTCAGAGGATGATGCAGACCATGGAATCTGACTGCAGCATATTTACTCTGTGATTGTCTTCCTGCTTAATAACCAAGGTCAGGACACAGAAACAAGAGGTCTCTGTGAGGTTGAATTAAAATTGTCAACTCGACACACTCCTAACCTGGGAAGGGAGCCTTAATGAGGAATTACCCGGATTAGGTTGACCTATGGGCATGCCTGTGAAGGATTTTTCTTTTTCTTTTTCTTGAGACAGGGTCTCACTATGTAGCCCTACCTGGCCTGCAATGTGCTGTGTAGACAAGGCTGAGCTTAAACTCATGGAGATCTGCCTGTCTCTACCTTCCAAGTGCTGCAATTAAAGGTGTCCACCACCATGCCCAGCATGAGGGATTTTTATTATCTGCTTTAATTGCTGTGCGGGAGACCTGCCCCTTGTGGGTGGCACCATTCTGTAGGTTTAAGTTTTGAACTGTATGAGTAGAGAAAGTGAGCTGAGCAGTAACCATGCAAACATTTATTTCTCTCGGCTCTTGGCTGTGTCTGTGATGTGACTAGCTGCTTCAAGCTCATGCTGCTGTGACTTCCCCACAATGATGGGCTGCAGCGGGAATTGTAAGCTAAAATAAAAACAAACTCTTTCTCGGCCAGGTTTCCTTTTGTCAGGATGTTTTATCACATCAATGGAAACACAATTAGGGCAGTCTCTGAACTTGACCGCTCTGCACCTCACCCTATTCCCTATTCTGGCTGGTGGGCTGTATATGGAGCCCAGCAGAGAACTACATGCTTTTCAGGTAAGAAAATCGCAAGGCCCCCGGATCCATCACAGAGCCTGCTCTTACTGCCAGCCTGGGTGGTGAAGGGTCTGGGAGGTGGCCATCGATTCCACAGTTCTAACTTCAGGAATGATACTTTATAGTCAGATGCTAGATGCACACCTGTAAATCACAGCTACTGGGGAGACTGAGGCAGGAGGAGCTTTAGGCCAGCCTCAGCAGTACAGTAAGATCTCCACCTTGCTACTGTCCTGACCCCAGTCTGCAGATAGGTTCAGCTACGTAAGAAAAACCCAGTGCCTGAAGGAAAAACAACAGTATGGAGAAAGAAATTCTGGAAAGCTATTGTTTGTTAGTCATTAGTAGAGAAACAGAGAGCCAATTTTTCTAAAATGTAGAGAAAAACACTTGAAGTATTTTGTTCTTTTGTGTATGTGTGGGGGCAGGGTCTTATAAACATCTTCTAGCCCAGGATGGCCTTGAACTCACTATGCAAGTGAGGATGAATTTGAACTTCTGATCTCCCTGCTTCCACCTTCAGAGTGCTGGGATTCCAACCACGCACCACCATGACTGGTTTCTCAGTACTGAGGCTGTAACACAGCTGCATGTGCACCAGGCAAGCAGTCTGTCAACAGGGCCACACCCCAGCCTCTGTGACACTGGGAATCACTTACGTATTTGTTTAAGAAACAGATTTTCTTTTTACCTCACTTATTTATTTGGTCTTTTTTGAGAAATTGTTCTGTCTAGGCCTGACTGTCTTGTAACTTGCTCTGTAGACCAGGCTAGCCCTGAAGTCAGAGATCCACCTGCCTTTGCCTCATGAGTACTGGGATTAAAGGCGTGAGCCATCACTGCCCAGCTGTTTAAAAAGTTATAACATATATTCATTGCTGTATGTACACATGCTCACACAAGCCTCAACACATGTATGGTGGTCCGAGGACAACTCATGGGCATCAGTTCTCTCCTTCCATCATGTGGGTCCTGGGGATTGAACTCAGGTCGTCAGGCTTGGCAGCAAGGGCCTTTGTCACTGAGCCATCTCACTGCATGATTATTTATCCTCATGGAAATGAAAGCAGTTACAGAGGTCACTGCTCCGCATCTCAAGTCCCATTATTTTAGAGTCACGTGGACAAGAGTTGTGTTTGAGACCCTGAGGAAACTGTGCCAGCATTAGGTCTGTTCCTGCACCAAAGTTAATCTGTTTTCCAAAGTGAGGGCATAGTTAAAAGTCTGCGCTTCAGGGAGCTGGAGAGATGGCTCAGTGGTTAGGAGCACTGGTTGCTCTTCCAGAGGACCTGGGTTCAATTCCCAGTACCCACGTGGCAGCTCACAACTGTCTGTAATTCCAGTTTCAGGGGACCCGACACCCATCGCAAAACACCAATGCACACAAAATAACAAATTAATTGAAAAGAATCTGTGCTCCAAACTTGTTCATCATCCTTTAAGGGGACAATGCAGAGCAGAGCGCTGAGGTGTGCCCCTAATGAGCTCCCTTGGAGCTCTTGTTCTGCCTGTTGGGGCCTCTTCTACTTTTGGTGCCTACGTATGCAAGTTCTTCCAAGGGACAATTATCCCTGGCAGCTGTGCCCGGAGATAAGCCTTCTGGGCTCTTGCCAAGTGCCCCCACCTAGAGGTAGATTAGCCTGATTGCCAGAGCCAGCCGAACATTCTGTGAGTCCCACTTCCCAAATAGACTCATCCAATAGATTCGGAGGTCACAGAACAAGAGGTCATATATAAAACTGCTCCACTGAGCAGTGGGAGGAAATTACACCCATATAGAAAATAAGTCTTCACCTGAAAAGCATTTTCTGGTACCTGCTACCAGTTCAACTTGGCAATGATGCAGGAACTGGGCTGATCACTCACCTTGTGCACAAACTGTTCCACTCGGGTCTGAAGGCCCCACACCTCGAACTTGACGGTCACCAGCTTGTAGGAGCACATGATGGGTTGGTGGCTATCCCGCCAGCCTTCTCTCAGCTGCCCCCGGCCTGTCTTCTCAGACTTGAAGTGTTTAGGATCCTAGAAGAGATACATCGAACGAACTCGTATATTAAAACTTTAGAGCTGCGAGACAGCACAGGCCTACAATCTTTTGGCAGGCAGAGGCAGGAGGATCAGAAGTTCAAGATCATCTCAGCTACATACTGAGTCTGAGGCCAGCATGGGCTACCTGAACTTTGTCTAAAAAATGGTGCCCAGGAACTGGAATGAGGAAAGATTGTGGAGACACTGGTGGCCGAGAAGAGAAAGAAAACACGCTGGAGAGGCTGGGGAGATGTCTCAGCGGGTAAACACTTGCCATGCAAGCCTGAGAACTCAAGTTCCATTCCTGGAACCCACATAAAAAGCCAGATACGGTGGTGAGCTTTTTGATCCCAGCAAACCTATGGGGAGATGGGAAGGAGGCAGAGAGGACAATCATCCGGAAGCTCCAGAGCCGGTGACCTGAACTACTCTGTGCAGTGGAGACGTAAGAGAGACCCTGGCTCACAGGAAGGAGAGATCACGGGCTCCTGAAAACTGTCCACTGACCTCCATGTTCACACACACACACACACACACACACACACACACACACACGCACGCACGCATGCACGCACGCACGCACACACGCACGCACACGCACACACGCAGATTTAAAGAAATGAAGAAAAGGAAACATGGTGGTAGCTACGCAGCCATATAAAAACCCATCACATTAGACACTACTTAAGAGATTGAGGGCTGGGGGTGTCCCTCAGTGACAGACTGCTTGCTTCACACGTGAGACCCTGAGTTTGATCAACATCGAAACAAAAAAAGTAAATTATATGTACTCCAATTTTAGAGATGGGCGCATACAACAACTGGCTTAGTTATTTACTAACATTAAATATAAATGTCAAATATAGTCATTAAAAACTAGACTTATGACACTGCAATTTTTTTCTTTCTTTTAAAGAAAAATTATAGTTAAGCTGTGCCTTTAATCCCAGCACTATGGAGGAGCTCTGTGAGTTTGAGGCTAGCCTAGTCTACATCCCATTGCAGGCCAGCCAAGGGGGGTAGTGGAAAGCTTACAGATCAGCTGTCTCAAACCGACATACAAGATTTTCCTCTGACCTCTGCATGAGCACATGTGCACCCCCCACATTTGAACACACACAGAAGCAGACAGGGGAAGACATGGGCCCAGAAGCTGGGGTGGTGGCAGCTCAGCCTTCGTAACTCAGGTGACAGACAACTCAGGCAACCTAGGGATGCCTCTGAAGAGCGTTCTCAGGCTGCCCTTGACCCCCATCACATACCCATGCTTCCCCGGGAAACACAGACTGCCTCCGAGGTCAAGCCCCACACTTTAGAGTTGAAGCTGTGACCTGAAGTTCTCCCGAGTTGATTCACTGAGGAGAACCTCATGATTACAGAGCGTCAGAATAATGTGGCTCAGGAACCACCATTACCTTGGGGCTACCTTCAGTGTCCTTGATAGATATTCACTGCACACTTCTCAATCTGACCTGCTGTCCCTCTGCTGTCATCCAGAGCCTGCAGAATGTAGTTTTAGCAGACCACTAGTTTCCTTCAAGCCCAAAGTTAAGGATGTCTTCAGATAGCATCAAAGACTACAGCAGAGATCTCCCTGTTTTGCTGTAACCCGTCTACCTGATGTTTCTACCAGTGTATTTGGAAAATGCCTTAAACTTATGACTTTCTGGGATTATAAACTGTTCATGTAATGGCATTCATGGTGGAAGACTTTTTACAAAAAAAATTTTAATATATTTTTATTTTATGTGTATTGCTGTTTTGCATGTACGTCCGTGTGAGGGAGTCAGATCCCCTGGAATTGGAGTTACAGTTTTCAGAGGCCATGTGTGTGCTGGGAACTGAACCTGGGTCCTCTGGAAGAGCAGCCAGCGCTCTTAACCACTGAGACATCTCCCCAGGCCCATGCAAGACATGGTCACTCAGATTCGGCTCAGAGCAAATAATCTCTGGTTCCTTCTGGGGTCAGAGCCATGTTTCACACTGATAAGGCCGAGCCTCAGCCCTTCCCCTTCCCCTCCTCTCCTGGGAGTCTGTGGCCCTGTCAGCTTAAGATAAACTACAACACTCGGCTGGGATGTGCCTCAGATGGTGAGCGCTGCCAGAATCATGAAAGCCTGGGTTCTCTGCAGGAGCAAGCAAGAGCTCTCGACCACTGAGCCATCGGGCCAGCTCAAGTTCCAGATAGTAACTTCTCCCTACACTTCCTTCTCCCCAGCAGGCCCCTGGTTCTGCCTGTCTCTGCTATTTTTGCTTCAGGACCCAGTTGGGTGTGTAGCCCAGGGGTTCTGTGGTCACCCTCATAACAATGTGAACCCCCAGGAGCATGGAGGGGCTCATAACCACTGTTCTGGCACACTGTGGCTATACATTCCAGACCCACAATCCTCAAGAATTAAATAAGACATAGTGATATGAAAGGGGAGAACTCAAAGCGTTTGGGAAATGCAGGGTCTTCCTGCAAGATCCAGTTCAGGCCCGGTGGTGGTGGTGGTGGCACACCATCTTTAATCCTAGCACTTGGGAGGCAGTGGCAGGAGGAGCTCTGTGAGTTTGAGGCTAGCCTGGTCTACAGAGTGAGTTCCAGGACAACCAAGGCTACCCTGTCTCAAAAAAAGAAAAAAAAAAAAGAAAAGAAAAAAAAAATCAGTTCAGAATGAAACTAGAAAAGTATTGTTCACATAGCCAAACCACAGAGATGCTTCAACCAAGGGGTGTGTGTGTGTGTGTGTGTACGTACAACCCTGGGTGTCAGACCTCATCTTCTGTCTTCTCAGTCAGAGTCTCATTGTTTTCCTGCTGTATAAGCCAGACTAGTTGGCCTTCAAGCTTCTGGGGCTTCTTCTGTCTCCACTGCCCATCTCATAGGAGCACTGTGATTACAGATTTGAACCATTTTCCCTGGATATCTGTGGGTTCTGGGGATTTGAACTCAGTTCTTCACACTTGTATGGCAAATTCTTTATGCACTGAGCCAGTCTCAAGGTATGGTTCTTGATGGCACCATTAAAATTTTAAATTATATTGTGGGGCAGTGGTGGCGCATGCCTTCAATCTCAGCACTCTGAGAAACAGAGGCATGGGGATCTCTATGAGTTCAAAACCAGCCTAGTTAACAGAGCAAGTTCCAAGACAGACAAGGGTACACAAAGAAATCCTGTCTCAATGCACCCCCCACAAAACAAAAAAACCACCCAAAGTAAATAAAGTTAAACTGAAATTTTAGCAGGCTACTGTGAAGTACAGTTGTCTAGATGTGAAAGAGAAGTTTATGTTTACCAGAGTCAGAAAGGACGTTTGGGAAAAGCTGTAGGAATTTACACTTAAATTGCCTTTAATGTGTGTACACACATGTACACCGCGGTTCACATGTGGAAGTCAGAAGAGAACACAGGATTCAGCTCGTTCCTTCCCCAGTGCAGTCCTGGAGACCAAACTCAGGCTGTTAGGCCGGGCAGCAGGCGCTTTGCCTGCTGAACGCCTCATCAACCCAAGAATTGACTTTTTTAAGTGGACAGCGGAAATTTGGTTTCATGCCCTCAATTTGCTAGATAAAGCCACCCAAGACTTGAGAAACACCAGCTAGTTCACCTGCAGATCACAGGTCCTTCCCGACAACACACTGTTCTTTCTGCCACATTTGCTTTTAAAATTAAACACCAAAAGGGTGTTTTTTTTTTTTTTTTTTTTTTTTTTCTAAATAGCTCAATGCCAAAGCAATTAACAATTGGGCTTTGTATGGGAACAGCATGTCCCCTCGCCCCACCCCAAGTCTGGTGTCATATCTACCGCTGATCATTTCATCTAGAAAATCTCAAACACAGCCTATAATTAGAGATTCACATTCTAAGCGCTGGGGGAGGCACAGGAGCAGGGCTCACAGGAACACACCTTTAATCCAAACTCCGGATCCGATGTGAACATCAGCTGAACGTGTCTGGATAGCAATGAGCCAAGAAAAGGGTGCTTGTGTGTATACACGTGTACATGTGTGTGCATGTGCACCCACATAAATCATCAGGTATTAGCCGGGCCGTGGTGGCACATGCCTTTAATCCCAGTACTTGTGAGGCAGAGCCAGGTGGATCTTTGTGAGTTCGAGGCCAGCCTGGTCTACAGATCAAGATCCAGGACAGGCACCAAAGCTACACAGAGAAACCCTGTCTTGGAAAAACAAACAAACAAAAAACATCAGGTACTACTTTTTTCTTTCCCGGAGACAGGGTTTCTCTATGTAGCCCTAGTGGTTCTGGAACTTGCTTTGTAGACCAGGCTGGCCCCAAACTCAAAGATCTGCCTGCCTCTACCTCCCGAGTGCTGGGATTAAAGATACATGCCACCACCGCCTGGCTAGGTTGTTAGCATTTTATAAAAGGATCTAATGCTTCACTGTAGTGTAACTAAGAAGCTGTTGGTTTTGATTTTTTTTTTTTTTTTTTTTGAGACAGGGTTTCACTCTGTAGCCTAGACTGGCCTTGAACTTATGGCAATCCTCCTGCCACAGCCTCCTGACTGCTAGAGTCTAATATACTGAAAGAAAGTTTTGTGCAGTGGTCTGGTGATTCCCCCAAAGGATTGTTAAGTACATGCTTTCGTCCCTGGAAACTATGGGTCCAATGTGATTGGAAACCAAGGTCTTTGCAGATGTAATTGAGCTTTAGATGAGATCATCCTGGCTTAAATGGATGGGCCCTAGATCCAATGACAAGTGTCCTTGAAAGAGACAGTTGAGAGGACACAAAGAGACAGTCACTTGGGGACAGAGGCAAAGATTGGAGTTGCCCAGTTTCAACTCACAACCTCCTGTAGGAACCAGAAGCCAGAATGTCCAGAACATCCTCAGGATCTCAAGAACATGACAGAAACTTTCAGGGAAGAGGTGCAGGCTGAGCAAAGTCAAGGTCCCAGAGCTTAACTCTAACTGGACTTGGGCAGGGTCTGGGCACTCAGCTTTTCAGAACCTCCTGAAGTATAGTCATTGCTACTAGATACAAGCAGATGAGGAACTTGAAACTCAGAAATGATCAGCAGCCTGTCTAATATTGTCCCCCACTCCTGGGCCCAGGTGCTCAGCCCTCCATGCACGCCTCCCCTCCCCACCCCACCCCATTCTTTGATGAGACTTAACCATAGTAAGAAGTAGGCAACAGCCTCTGGAGAGCTCCTGGGTCCCTTCTGCTGTGAGGACAAGAAGGCACCACCCAGAACCAGGTACTGGACCTCTCTCCCTACCTCTGTGTAGCCATTTCCTCTGAATTGAAACATTCCCTCCTGGAGGGGGAAGTCCAGGCAACATACAGAACTCAGGAAACTCAAGGAACTTACAGGGCTCAAGGAACACAGAAAGTTACAACATTCTGTAAACAGAAACAGCTGTTGCAGAGAGGTGCCCTTTCCGCCGCCAGCGCAGCTCAGAGCAAGTTGTGCAGGGAGTTCCAAATGTAGCTTTCGAGAGCCAACACCATGCTGGGATGAGCTCTTTGGTGGTGCAAGCTGCCTTTGAGTCACCCTCTAAGTAACTCCTCACCCACATTCCCCAAGTAACCCCAGCCAACTAAGAGATTTGGGTGGATCCCTCCTTTGATCTGTTACCAGTGCTCCCTCTGGGGTGAGGAGACGTTAGTTTTTGTCTCCCCTGGATAAGTCTGCTAGAGCCTTAATTTTCCAGCCTCCATAATTAAGAAAGAAACGATGACTGTTTCAAAGACACCCCATGCACAGTTACAGCAATCTGGATGGAGAAAGATATGACCTCAGGAAGAGAGAATATTTCATCTGAAATCCCAGCAGAGTCAGAAGAGATCCACATGGCGGAATGGTGATTTAAGTAACTCTCTTGTGGTGTCATTGCAAGGCTTCGATTGTAACTTGCCCTTTTCAGCATGGAACACAGAAAGTGCCTGATGCTTGGGCGATGTCACAGAGGGACACAGCCATGAAGCCCAAACAGCCCGAGACAGGCTATCATGTAGTTTCCTCAGCTCTCGCCAAGGCCTGCTGAAGAAAGGCAGGCAGCTGCCGGCCCATCTGGCTAGCCTTAATCCTGTAGTCAAAACTGTGTAGGAAAATGAGCTCAAACATGAACGTGACCACTCAACAGGATGAAGGTTTTCTCTGGGGAGTGACAGGCTGCCTAAACATCCCTGTTTTCTGGAAGCTGGTACCTCTCCTGGTCTACACTTCAAGAGAAGGTTGTAGTATTGTTTTGTTTTAGACAGGGTCTTACTATGTAGCCTTGGCTGTGTCTATGTAGCCCAGGCTGGCTGGAACTCACAGAGATCTGTTTGTCTCTGCTTCCTGAGTGCTGGGATAGGTTACACCACCACACCCTGCCTCAAGAGAAGGGCCGACACTTGCGCTACTGCACCACAAGTTTTTATTGGTGAGACATATGGCCTGGGCCTAGGCCAAGGTCATATGATAGTGTTTGGTGCCCAGACATAGTGCATTTTCCACCTTCTCTTAGAGAGCAAGGCAGATTGTTTTGGTGTGAAAGTCATCACTAGACCCTGCTGTCTGTTCTTTCCAGAATCCCTCAAGCTGGGCCTGGGGAGCTCTTCTTCTGAAGGGGCCCTGGGGTGTTTGGTGTCCCAGCATTGCTCTAAGGAAGGACCACAGGCTGAGGGCTTAGATGACAGAGATTTGCTGTCTCACGGTGTGGAGGCAGACATCCAAGATCAAGTGTTATTCTTGAAGCTTTCTTCTTCCTCAGCGTCTAGGGGTTTGCTGGCCATCTTTGACATTCCTTGGCTAATAAAGCATACCTCGGGAGTGATCACAATGTTCTGAGCTCACATAGTCTTCCTTCTGTGCTGCTCTGTCTCTGTGTCCTCATCTAAAGGACATCAGTCATATGAAATGGGGTCCACCCTAATAACCCTAACCTACGACAGTTCTCTCGTCTCAGTTCACATACGGAAGCATCGCAGGCAAGACTTTGATAGATTATTTATTCATCAAGACAGAATCTCTTTTTATGTAGCTACAGCTATCCTGGAACGCACTATGTAGACCAGGCTGTACGGGAACTAATGGATGCCTACCTATCTCAGTCTCCCGACTTTAGAACTTTTCAGATGGACACCATTAAACCCATATCAAGGGTCCAAGAAGAGTCTAAGTTATTTTTCTTGTCACATGATACAGTATCTATTAGAAGCAGCTTAAGGGAGGGAAGATTTGTATTGGCTCATGGTTTCAGAGTATCTCAGTCCATCATGACGGGAGAGGCATGGCTGTGGGAGGTTCCTCTGAGATTGGCCAACCAAGAGGCAGAGGAAGTAGGCCAGAACCAGAAGTGGCTATAACTCTAAGGTTCACCCACTAGCAATCTACTTAGACGGGTAAGGCCTCGGTGAGGTTCCACAACCTCCCCAACACACTGCTACCAGCTGAGGACCAAGTGTTCAATCCCATGAACCTGTGGACAACATTTCACACTCGAATCGGATTAGAGAGGTTTTTGTTTTTTATTTTGTTTTGTTTTCTTAACAAGGTTAGTCATCTGGATGTATGAGGTCTCTTTTACTGCCTGGTCACTCACTTGGTCAGGGAGCTTCAAGCACCACTCTAGCTACAGCTGGTTCTACTGGATGACATGGAAACTCTCAGAAGCAAGACTCTTGCCTGGACAGATGCACTCAGCCCCTCTAGTCCGGGAGCTGGGTGCCTAGAGATGTGTGACACGATGTGTTCTTCTGGCCAAGGGCTTCTCCATTCATCCATAGTGAAGTCTCTGGCTCTGGACTCCGCTGGCATTCTCCAGGCCAGGCAGATGGTACAGCGAACCCTTGCAGTTAAAACACATCTATATCGAGAGGGCTAAGCTGGTGCCAGGGCTGTCTCCCCAGGACTTGGCGGGCCACCCCTTCCCTTTGGCACATCTGTAGAGGGTTTCCCCTCTGTTAGGTCAGCAGTACCTGGAGGCATTGCCATCTCACACCGGGACAAGCCAAGACAGAGGTGACGCTGAGGGATTCGGCATTTGGGTAGCTCATGGGAAACTGTGTCCTTGCATGGCTTACGATCAAACTCACATCTGGACTGTGCAAAGACAAGCCCACAGGAGATCTTGGCCCAGCTGCAGGAGAGCCTACATCTTGGCAGCAATACTATTAGTCACATAAACTGAGATATAAAGTCTCCATGATTAATTACACTTTCAGTCAGAACCACAAAGGACAAAAACCAACAGGGGCTTGCTCTGCTAATTGAAAAAAGTTTTTGATAAATGTTAAATATAAAAAAGGCTAAATGGGAACCCCAGCCAGGAATTGCTATATTATGTAATGATAATACTCAACCCCATAGCAGAAAGGAATGGACAGGACACAAATCCCGTATTAGATTTTTTTCCCCCTACATGCTGGAACTTTCCACCAAGGTCATTCCAAGGTGATGGTTAAGAGTGATTGTCAGCTTGACAGCTTCTAGAATCACCTTGGAGGTAAATCTCTGGGCATGTGTGTAAGGAATTTTCTAGAGTAGGTTAATTGAGGTGGGAAGGACCGCATAAAAAGGAGCCGGCAAGCTGAGTGCCAGCATCCACCTCTCTCTTCTTCCCAGCTGTGAGTGCAATGTGGCCAGCTGCCTCATGGTCTGGCCACCACGCCTTCCCGCCCTTCCTCCATGGACTGAGCCCTCTGACTTGGAGCCAGAATAAATCCTTCCTTCCTTAAGTTGCTCTGGTCAAGTGTTTCGTCACAGTGATGAGGAAGGTAACTAACACACCTTCCAATGTTGTTTGCAGTTGGCTTTTTGGGGCAGGGTCTTGCTGTGTAGCCCACACTGGGTCTGAAACCTGTGATCCTCTTGCCTCAGTCTTCAGAATACTGGGATCCTCCTCCTTCCAGTATTTCGGCCATTTTAATGGGAAGAAATTTAGCCTAAAATTTAGTCTAGTGTTTTCTTGAACTTCAATCCTATCTATAAGAGGTCCATAAACACTTGCCCCAGAGGAGGATGTTAAGTATCCCATTCATGTGAAATGTTTAGGTCAGGGAACTCTATGGAGAGAGAATGTACATCAGTGGGTTCCCAGGGTTGGGGTAGAGGTGGGGGTCAGAATACAGGAGTGACAGTTGACATATAAACATTTCCTTTTAGGGTGATGAGAATGTTTAAAATTTGATCGTAGTGACAGTTACACACATCTGTTAATACACTTTTAAATTACATTTTATCTCTATCATCTATCTATCTATCTATCTATCTATCTATCTATCTATCTATCTATCTATCTAACGTGTGTGTGTGTGTGTG